ATTCAATCACTGTGCCCACTATGGGCACACCCACAAAATTAAACGATAAGTGCTATCTTCACAAAATTTTACTTGTGTACTCCTCTAGGCCTAATTAGACTACCTACCTTTTTCTTAATCAAAACTTCACTTTAAAATGAGGCGTGCCGAAAAGGGTGATTAAACGCCGTTAAACTGTTCTTTACCTAAGATGAATTTCCGCATTAGCAAAAGAAGTTTTCAGGAAATATTAGAACTTAAGGAATGACCTGATATTATATTTATAGAAAGTTAAAAATAGGAATTGATTTAACATTCTGCAGCTAACACTGAAATTTCGCAGAGAACTTTTTAAAAGTTACATTTGTGTTCTTGAAGGAAGTTAACATCGAACTGAAAAAGAATCCAAGATTTTATTGACAAGACTCAACTAAAAGTTTTTTTAGTTATAAATCAATGAAGGCAGGGTTTATCATTTGATCTTACGTGATAGCACAAAACGAAATCAGCTGAAGGTTAATTCGTGCGTTAACTACACCGATTCATGAAACGCAAAATGAAATATTGCACAGGCATTTACGGAAAAAATTTATCAAAAATATAACGCACAAGTAGAATGAAATATTTCTTCTAATTTTTTATTTGTTTCACATATTGATATTATCATAAACTTGCAATTTATGTTTCTCGTAATACTAGCGATCTGCGAAATGTCAGTATGGAAACCTGTTACATGCTGCACATTTAAAAAAATTTTTTAAAAAATCTGAAAGTTTTCAGATTTCAAATTACGTCCAAAGGGCCGATTTTTTAACGTTTTGTGTGTTACTTTTATTTATTAAATAACAAGTTCTTCGCACATAAACCATAAAATTCAGTTCAATAGCAATGTCGCAAGATAATTTTAAAATGAGCATATCTTTAGAAATTTCCGATACACAGTTCCGCGCGCTGGAGATAAAAAAGGTCCCCCCCCCGTAGAGTGTTGCCATTGTTCACTTTTAAATTGAGTTTGCTACTCAAAAATTCGTTAAAGTTTTAAAAAATATGAAATTGATAATGAAACAAATTCCAAATTTCATTTTTTTTACATGCCCATATTCGTAGAAGGATTATGTCATTCAAATAATACACGACTCTAACATTTGGTGGCAACACTTTGAAAAGTGATTCGCTGTTTATAGTGATTTAACGCAAAATCTCAAAACGAAAACTATAGTCCTTCAGAGACAAAGACCCATTGGACTAAAAAAGTCTGAAAACATTCAGATTGTATAAATACGCCCAAAGGTTTTTTTTAATACCAAAGGTTTTATACGCCAAAGGTTTTTTTTTAACGTTTTGTGTGTTACCTTTATATAAGCATAATTTTCTTTGCACTTAAACCATAAAAATCAATTCAACAGCAGTATCACAAAATATTAAAAAATAGCCTGTCTTTAGAATTTCCGATACATAGTCAGTCTAGCACACTGGAGGTAATTTTTTTTTTCGTACAATGATGCCATTGCTCGCTTTGAAATCATTGAGTTTGTTAATCGAAAATTCGTTCACGTTTTACAAAGTATGGAATATGTAATAAAACAAATTCCAAATCTGGGACTCCAGATTCCCATATTCGAGTGGAGAACTACGTTATTCAGAATTTGATATCTCTAGGTACCGTTGTTTTCTCACAATGCGAGAAACATACATACATTCATGCAGATTCTTCATTATTTAATTTTTTGGGTAGAGTAGACTTTTAGGTACCCCTTGTATTATGGCAAAGTTGTTGTTTGATTTATCGCCAAGTTGTTTCATTTATGGTAGCCTGAGTAGTTGGATGTTATGGAAACCCTATTGTGACGTAATCGGGTGCATGATTCTGGGAAATTTTGAATCATGGGATGTTTTGTAAGCGTTTTTGTGGTGTGTGTTAAAACCGTTTATATGGGTTTGAATGCGTTTGTAGGAAGGAATGTTCAGATAGTCATTATGTGAAACGTTCGATCAGAAAGAGTACCTGGTTTGAAAAAAGTCATTTGAGTATGACTGATATTTTGATTTTCATGTGGCTCTGGGTGTACGAAGCGAATTCGAAAATCATGGTAAGTGAATATTTGTTTTTGGTAGTGCTTAAATGTATAACATGTTTTTCCTTTTTTATGTTATTTTATTGTTTGGTTTAAACTGCATTGTATTGAGATTATGTATTTTTTGTTTGCCTATATTGTAGACTTTGGTGCTCCTTTGACTTTTTAAGTGAAAATATATCTATGTGTACATGGACAAATCCCCGAATTGCACAAAAATGGCATTGCGCACTCCTTTGACTTTAGCTATGTACACGTCGACCTATTTTCACTTAAAAAAAAACCTCGAATTGCACAAAAATGGCATTGCGCGCTCTTTTAACTTTATCCATGTACACGTCGACCTATTTTCACTTAAAAAAATCCCAGAATTGCACAAACTTGCATTCCGCACTCCCTTTACATTGTCCATGTACACATCGATACATTTTCACTTAAAAAGTCAAAGGAGCACCGAATTCTACAATATAGGCAAACAAAAGATACATAATCTCAATAAAATACATTTTAAACCAAACAATAAAATGACATAAAAAGAAAAAACATTATACATTTAAGCACTACCAGAAGCAAATATTCACTTACCATGATTTTCGAGTTCGCTTCGTACACCCACAGCCACGTAAAAATCAAAATATCAATCATACTCAAATGACTTTTTTCAAATCAGGTACACTTTCTGATTGAACGCTAGTGACCATCTGAACCTTTCTTCCTACAAGCCCATTGAAATCCATCTAAACGGTTTTTACGTTCGACTAGACGCATATCCTTCCTACATACAGGACACTTATAATGGCTACTAAGTAAACCTTCATTTACACACCAGTCAATTAAAGCTCTTTTCCTCTTTCGCTCCAAATCGTACAGAAACTTCAAATTAATCTTACTACATTCGGCCATTCTACCGTCTAAAGAATCAAACCAAAACACACCACAAAAACGCTTACAAAACATCCCATGATTCAAAATTTCCCAGAATCATGCACCCGATTACGTCATAATAGGGTTTCCATAACATTCAGCTACTCAGGCTACCATAAATGAAACGACAACTTGGTGATAAATCAAACAACAACTTCGCCATAATACAAGGGGTACCTTAAAGTCTACTCTACCCATCCTCTCTTCGTACGAATCCTTAGCTATCAATTATTTGCAGTTTTTGTATACATAGGGTTTGTTATCATTTTAAAAGCCCAAATTAAATTTCTTCATATAAGCTAAAATGCAGAGAGTATTTGGAAAAGACTGCATGATTACTTTTATCCTAAACAACTAGTCGCAATCCCCATAGTCTTACATTACGAAATAAATGCTAAAGGGATAATTTTAATAATGCGAAATCTCTAAGTAAAAATACACGATGAGTTTTAACATGATCATAAAAAGTACAGCAAATGCAGTGCTGAGTTAGCAGTAAGAAATAATTTTAATGAATCAATACTTTGTTAAACCTATTACTCCCGCCCCCAAATTCTAATGTTTATAGAAAGCATTCGGTTCGATAACAAAAGTAAGAAATTTAGGCCTTCTTGCAGGAGTCTTCAGAAAATCATGTAATTTTCGTTTCAAGCTAAGAGGACAACCATTTTCTCTCTCTCCATTTGCCATGAAACAATTTACCAACTATATAAAATAATTACTAGTATTGTAAAATTAGAAAAACGATCCATAAATTGACATAGCTGTTAAATAAAACTAAAACTGTTTCAATAAAACAAGTTTTCTACAGTCAAGTTTTTTTTTTTTTTTTTTTTTTTTTTTTTTTTTTTTTTTTTTTTTTTTCCGGAAGAAGGAGAAGGTTTTTTTGCCTTCGGAAGTGAGAAATATTTACGTAAATTATAAACTTACTTTTTTTTTAAGGTTTCATATTTTTACCATAATTTAGTATTTTACAACGAAGGGAGTGATGTATTCTTAATAAGAAATAAGTTAAATTAATAAAGAGTTTTTTAAAACCAACACTCCCCTCCAAATTCTAAAAGCTCGTAGAAGGAATTCTGCTCTCCGATATTAAAATATTAAAAAAAAAATCTGAAAGTTTTCCGATTTTATATTACACCCAAAGGGACTTTTTTTCAACGTTTTGTGTGCTACCTTTATTAGTTAAATATCATATTCTTTGCACTTAAATCATAAAATTCAATTCAGCAGCAATATCGCAAAATAATTTTAAAATGATCATATCCGTTAGAATTTCCGATGCACAGTCTCGCGCGCTGGAGACAGGTTTTTTTCCACTACAGGTCTTGCCATTGTTCGCTTTGAAATCGTTGAATTTGTTAATCAAAAATTCGTTAAGTGTTACAAAATATGAAATCGATAATAAGATAAATTCCAAACTAGGGCTTCCAGATGCCCATATTCGGGTGGAAATGTACATTATTCAAAATTCGATAGCTCTAAGTACCGTTGCTTTATCACAATGCAAGAAACATACATATATTTATGCCGATTCTTCACTATTTCATTTTTTAAATATAATACAGGGCTGTAATATTTGGTGGCGACAGTTTTAAAAGTGAACCGACATTTATGGTGAACCAACGTAAAATGCCAAAACGAAATTAATAGCCCTTCTGGGCTAACGCCCTTTGGGCTAACAACTCCTAGGTATTTTTTGTTTTATCTCTTTATTATTAGAAGGAACTCTCCAGCGGTTATCAATAACTAATTTATTAAATGCTGAACTGCGTAAATCCATTCGTTCTTAGCAAAATTTCCGTGAAAATTTTAACTTTAATCTACGCAAAACGATTAATATTAATGAGTCATAACTTTGCCTTAACTTGTTTAAAAATTTTTCAGTTTTGTTTCAAATTTCATTTTTTATTATAAATGTTTAAAAAAAGGAAAAACAGTTACAAATTGTTTACTGAATATCAGTTTGTACTCTTGGGATGTTTGAAAGTTAAACAAACATTTAACGAAATTAAAACTTACGACTTTTGGTTGTACATCTGGCATCAGCAGAGGAGACTTTTGTATATCATCGTCAGCGTTCATATGCACTATGAAGATTAGTAATACAAGAAAAAACAATATTTTAATTAGCTGTTTCATACTGCCGACTCGCACTCTTCCTTGCACATTGCTACTGAGATACGATACAGCGCGTGTCAATATTTTGACCAAAGAACTATGTCAACGCGCATCTTTGCGGTGACGTCAGGACTGAAGTTATTCTTTGCTTTCACCCTAATAAACACTCTCAATCCTTGTTACAAAAGTAGAACTCATTTAAAATTATTAAACTACCAAAGTATAAACGTTATTATAAGAGTATTCCGATTTTCGTTTTAATACTTTTTTCGCTTGCCCAATGTTTCCAGGATAAAAGTAAATATTAATATACAGAAGTACTAAAATCTTTAATGTCTTTGCAAAAATTACATATTCTTATATATAAAATCATTATGCGTTACTTCAGTTTTGAAATACGATTATTATCAGTTTCAATGTTAAATGTGAAATAGATGAGATGTTAAATGAGAAAATTCAGCGTCCAAATACTATACAAGACGCTGCACAAACAGTAGAGGTTATTTACTTACCTTGGAATTGAACATGCCTTTTTATGGCATACTAGCTCAAGTACCCGTTGTTGACGAAGCTTAATGCAAACCGAGAAGCCTTAGGGGTGTGGGGAAAGTTTTTCGAAATTTCAGACAGGCGGTGATTTTCCTATAATTTTTTTTCAAGGTGAATTGCACAAAATTTTATCAAGCTCGAATAAAACTTTAGATTTTATTTAGACAGAAAACAAATGTTATGGATGCCAATTTTAAAAGGAAGAAATAGTTCACTCAGTTAACACAATTCAAATCAGACGATAATTTCCATTGTTTATTAATTCCTCATTTACAACACAAAACTTTTATACTGCCTTTCTCTTTAGGTACTCTTTTTGAGTATTACTTATGAATTTCAGCATCTCAATATTCTCAAAACTAAAATTATTCTCGCATCAATAAATATTCATCATGAATATTATACTCATTTTTTTAACATACAGCACGTTTTACTCAGCTCAAAATGCAAACTCTGATTATTATTTTTAGAATTCAAGAAGAAAAGAAATCAACAAAGGTTGTCAAAACGATTTCAGTAAACCTTTCAATGAAATATGGAATTCGGATACTCTAGCTCATGCTCCACGTTCTTTATTTATTTAGTTGCTAAGTAAATACATTTCTGAACATCCTCCCAGTTAAATTATCATTTGATCTGAAAAGGTTAACTTACATGATGCAGATAAATGCTAATAATCAAATATAAATCATACACTTCACGTAAGTAAAATAATTTAAATAAATATTTACGAAATATATAAAAATGGCGTATTATATTCAAGTCACAAATTCAGTCTTTTTGAATACTTTAGTTCCTCGTCAAATTCCGGCAACCATTAATACGGGACTAGCAGTTTCAGAGTTAGATATTTGTAGACTTATCTTCCTCCAAAATGAAACGTTTTTTGAGAGGATGTTAGGGTTAGAAACAGCTATTTCTAATGACTGCAGATGCTGGATCGGTCTATGTGTCTCTCCATGTATAGTTTGAAGTTTAACCAGTCTCGTTACTCCATCTTTGCCTGGCATAATCTAGATAACTTTCCCAAACGGCCAGTTCATTCTTTGAGTGCTGTCGTTTTCAGTTGAAACTACTATATCACCAACATTCATTTGAGATGATCGTTTAGTCTTTGATTTTTGAAAAGAGCTCATAGACATTCACTTCGAAATCTTTTTCTCAAGTTGTCTTGCAAAACTCAAGTTTTTTTATCTATATTTTGCCCTCTTGTTGAAGCTCTTCTGGCTTCCCTTATCACAATCTGGAATTTCATATATTTGGATTTCTTGGAAAAACATTGTAGTACAGGAACAAGTTCATCGTTCTTGGTGATATACGTCAGAGGACAGGAATTGATAACTGATTTGCAGTCACAAAGCACCGTTGCCATTATGTGAAGGAAGCATGACCTAATATTTCCCTCAATAAAATTTTACACATTCCTATAAATCTCTCCCAACGACTACCTCGCCATGAGGCAGGCAGCAGATGGGTTAAATTTCCATTCTGTTTGGTGAATAAATGTATCAGCTGTAGTGCGATTCCAGTCTAAAACTAAAATAAGCTTGAAGCTTCAACAAAGTTTGTACCATTATCGCAATAGGTATTTTTGCATCGCCCTCTTCGATCTATGAATGTACATAGAGCTAGCAAGAAAAGTTTTGCTGAGAGTGAAGTTACTAACTCCAGGTGTACGAGCTCAGATTCTTAAAAGAATACCTTTTACATATTACATATTTCGAAACAATAGATCGTATTTGTACGTATCCAAATGATCAGAAGGTTGTTGATGCTTGTTCCTTGATCTATTGCACCAAGATATTTTACTGTACATTTATTTACAATTTATTTACAAGTCGTATGCCACCTGGCATGTTTACAAGCGTTATGCCTCCTGGCATGTACATGATAGACATATTCTGCCACCTGGCATGTGAATTAATACATCATATTAGTTTTCTGCCACCTGACAGATACGATGCAATTACCTCAATTAGCGGTAATACGCCCGACATTTTGGCGTGTCCGCTTCCCTTACGTTCTGTAACGCAACTAACTTTTTGTGCGGTGCGCCCTCTGGGCACAAATCACCGCAATCACCGAGGAGGCCAAAACATCCCCCCCCCCGATGAATTACATTCATCTTAATACAATCTTCAATATATGCAAACAAGTAAATGAAAAATATAGAAACTGAAAACATACAAAAACCTTCAAAAAGTATAAAATTACATGTTACACTTACCAATCTTCTAGCAAAACATCTTATATCTTACTATATTGAAACGTTAACTATGAGGGTTAAACTAGAACAAACAAATAAAATTATTAGTACAATAAGAAATGAAAATAATAATAAAACATATTCAATATAAACCAAACACTTAAGTTAATGTTCTTCAACTGGTAAAAGACACAGTTTGGTAATAGGACGTTTAATGTCCCCGTGCACAGTTTTTTAGTCTAACCACTCGGACATTATTGTCTCTTCCAGGAAAACACTTCTATTACTCGCCCGAGTTTCCAACGTAATGAAGGCATATTATCTTCTTTAATGAGAACCAAGTCATTTAGACGAATATTTCTGCTAGGCTGTCTCCATTTGCTACGCTGCTGTAGTTGGCACAGGTACTCTTTAGACCACCGCTTCCAAAACCCTTGGAACATCTGCTGTGTTAGTTGCCATCTTTGCAATGGAGACACTCGTACTTCGGTTAAATCTTGTTCCGGAACAGCTGTTAAAGAAGTCCCTATAATAAAGTGTCCAGGAGTCAAAGCTGTCAAATCATTGGGATCACTGGAGACCGGTGTTATTGGCCTCGAATTTAAGCATGCTTCAATTTGTGCAATTAGAGTTAGAAACTCTTCATAAGTCAAAATTTGAGTTCCAACACATTTCTTTAGATGCAGCTTCATAGATCTAACAGCTGCCTCCCATATACCACCATGATGTGGAGCAGCTGGCGGGTTGAATATCCACCTTATGTTTTCATTTGCTAACCACCTTTGAAATTCTGAGGTTGACTGGACAGATGAAACTGCTTCCTTGAGGATTTTATTTGAACCTATAAAATTAGTTCCACAATCACTTCTTATTTCTTGAGGTTTTCCTCTCCTCGAAGCAAATCGTTTTAGAGCAGCTAGGAATGCTTCACTTGATAAGTCGCTAGCAATCTCTAAATGGATAGCCTTTGTAGCTAAACAAACGAAAATACAGACATAACATTTAATTGGTCTTATACCTCTTCCCCTTTTCATTTTCACAGAAAATGGGCCGGCATAATCAACGCCAACCTTTGAAAAGGTTCTACTTGGAATCACTCTACTTGCAGGTAGTTCTCCCATTAATTGAATAGATGTTACTGCTCGTACTCTGCAACATTTTATGCATTTCCAAATGCATTTTTTAATTTCATTCTTTGCACTTATTATCCAGTATTTCTGTCTTATTGCGGATAACATTAAATGCAACCCTCCGTGTAAATGTTTTTCGTGATAATGCTGTATCATTAATTTTGTGAAGTGATTATTATTTGGCAATATAATGGGATGTTTACTTTCTCTGGTAATTTCTGCGTTTCTTAATCTACCTCCTACTCTTAAAATTTCGTTTTCATCTAGAAATGGATTAAGTGAAATGATTTTGCTTTTAGTTTTAATCGGTTGTTCTGTCTTTAAAGCCTTAATTTCTTCTGAAAATTCATTAAGTTGAACATTTCTTATAATAAATTCTGAAGCCTTCCGTAACTCATAGGCGGTAAGCACACCAGATTGCTTTTCACGAGCGGATTTACAGTTGTTCACGAAGCGCAGAACATAAGCCATTATTCCCAGTACTTTGGTTAAATTTCCGTACAGTTCAAGATTTAGTAACGGTTCTGTAGATTCCACAAGTGTTTTCAAAGTAACACATTTTACGTTCTTCACTAACGTTTTGCAAGTCAGCTTCGGTATTCATTTCGTTTATGTGATGTCGAATATCTACTTCTGAAAGCCAGGGTGGCCCAGAAAACCAATCACTATCATTAATTAGAGCTTCAGCATCCATCCCCCTCGTAAGTTTATCAGCAGGGTTTGTCTTCCCACTGCAAAAGTACCAGTTGTTTAAAATTGTTTTCTCCTTGATTTCTACCACACGATTTCTAACAAATTGTTTCCACTCGTTGGCAGATCCCTTGATCCAGTGAATGCAAATTTGGGAATCAGTCCAGTAAAATATATTTCCCTTATCCAACTGCGGAAATATCGATTGCAAATACGAACCTAATCTTGCAGAAATTAATGTTCCCAAAAGTTCAAGCCTAGGGAGTGTTACCCTTTTTAATGGAGCCAAACGGGATTTCGACACTATGAAACTTGTTTTACATTTATTTTTCTTCTTAAATCTAAAATATGCTACGGCACCATAACACTTGGGACTGGCATCAGAAAATATGTGAACTTCTATAAACTTCCAACACATATCACTGAAGTACTGTCTGGGAATTTCGAAAAACTTTATTTTTTCAACTTCTTTTAACCATTCCTGAAATATGAATTCTGTATCAAGGGGAACACTTTCGTCCCATTGAATACCCCTTTTCCCACATAGTTTGCATTAAGAGTTTAATTCGAACAGTAAATGGATTCATAATTCCTAAGGGATCAAAGAGCATACCACATGCTGCTAAAATGATGCGTTTAGTTACTTTGAGATTTTGTAACTTCTCAAACTGAGATACATCTATTTTCAAATTATCATTGACAT